AGAAACTTTGGTTGTTACTTCTTTTATTTCTTTTGGTACCAGTTCCTCTTCTTCAGTTATACTAGCCCAGTCTTTGCTTGTTGATGTTGAAACTGTATTGTTGTAGTTGTCTGTGAGCCTATCTAGTTGAGGCTCAGTATGTTGCTCCAAACTTGCTTCTTTTTTAATATTGTTTTCTTTTGTTTTGAGAAGATTAAAAACTTTGTTGTTGCTAAAGTTCAGCCTAACTTTCTTGTGTTGCAACTTGCTCATGTTTAAAAACTGTTGTTTGTATTTTCTAGTAAACTGAAAAGAGTTTTTTTATATTGGTTATTTTCAAAAACTAGCTTTATGTACTTGTGCTTTATTTCATTAAAAAAAGAGATTTTTTTAATTAAATTAGTTAGCTAAAACTGAATAACAAAGCCTCCTGTATAATGTAAAGTTTAAAACATAGCCGAGTGATGCAAGACAAAAAACCCAAGAACTATGAAAAAAAACAAATCTTAATATATATTTTTTAATTTTAATTAGTCATGTATTATAAAATTGTTAGTATCTGTTAATATTATATACTGTTATATTTAAGTATTAGTTGGTGATGAAGCCACCACATGATCATGTACTAGTTATTGTAAAAAAAGAGATTTTGAGAAATCAGTTTAGCAGTTAATTAAAGTGATATTTAATGATAATACAAAATGAACAATTGATTTTGTGCAGCCTTAATCACCCGATTTTAAATTAAATATATATTAAATTTATTATATATATTAAATTTATTATATCAAAGTTACCAACTTAATTAAACTGGATAACTAGGTTATGAGAATAAAATTTTTAAATAATTTTTTTTTATTTTAAAATTCAGATTAGCAGATCATCAAAGGTTAGATGATGATATGAAAACTAATAGTATTAGTTTATATAGCTTTATTTATATAAATTTCTATCTATAGTTGTAATTAATTTAATCAAACAGATGGCTTACTTAGCTTTCACCTAGATATAACCTGCTTTAGTAACCCTTGGCCTATTCCATTATTGCCGGAGACTTCAATACTAATTTAAACCCAGAAACAAACAGAATAAGCCAAGCACCTGCACATCAAAACCATTCTAAAAGCCTCTTAGAGAACTTATTTCTCTTTGGTTATAGGCTAGTAGTTATATATTTTATTAGCACTATTTTTGTTAGCTTCATTTTGTCTTTGTATTTTACTAGCAATAATTATGTTGCACTATATTAAGTTAGTTTTTTTTCATTTTAAAAGTGAAATCTACTTTTTGTAACTTTATTAGTTTTACTAATTATAGATATATTACAATATAATACAACTAAGCAACTTATATATAGAGAATTCAGACTACTTTATCTGTAATATAAGCTTTATCTAGTAAGGTGTTATCTGTTTAAACCTAACTAGGATTTTTTGTATTTCTGATTATTTTTATTAGTGTTCTATATATATTTTCTATATTATTCACATAGTCACAAATATACTTTTAAATAAATATTACAACTAAGGCCTAATAACTAGTTTACTTTCTAATTTGATGATAGATGTTGATATCAGTGTTTTCTTCAGATACTAGGCTCACTATCTTATATCTTATAACTTTTGCCTTTATCTACTAATATTCCTTCAAGACTTTTCTTTTTTCTTTAAGGTACTAGTCTTCACAGCTCTTATAATTATTATTTTTTTTTTTTTTTTGTTTTTTTTTAAGGTGAGGTCATGCCTCATGTCTTTATTAATATATATGTGTATATACAAATTTATTCAAATTATTCTATACATTTTAATATCATAACTACACAA